GAGTCTTTGAAGACGGTTTTATTCCACCCGTCGCTAGAAGAAACACATAGTTATCATGTGATGGGAGCAGGCAGAAATGTTTCGAAGTCAATAATAATTTTGACAACCGAGATGAGCAAAAAATTTCAACAAAAAAATGCATAGGCTATTTAGACGCAAGGTTATATGAAAAGTTAATTATAATCCGATTAGCAGAATGCATATGCTTCGCTCCTACCTGACATTTTCAAATTTGACATCATACAAGTTGTCAGGATTCTTGCCTCCGTCCGTTCTTAAACCACTGATGCCATCATAGATCAGCGTCCTTAAACCACTGATGCCATCATAGATCAGCGTCCTTTCCTGACGAAGCTATGGTTAGTGGGGACAAATGAACTCGTCAGCTTATGCAAATTTAATTAGTAAATAATTGCTCGGATTTCGACATGTGCATATCCAGTTTCGGTGTGCTTTGTTGCTGGCCATTTGGCGCGTCCCCGGATTGCGGATGAGGAACATCTTCCAGATATGCAGGTTAGCTGTGATAAATTAGAAGTCACGGACCGGCAGCGGCGAAATCGCCATGATCTAGCTGGGTCCGAGTTGCACACGATAATCCGTCAGAAAAGTCACTATGCCTAAGGACAGTCTCATGACGTGGCAGAAGCCACCCGCTTCGTCGTGAACGTTGGGCATCGTCGGTTCTTCATAGCTAGACAAGAAAACAGTTCGATGAAAACGGGACGGAATTCAGGGACTCTTTTGTACCGTATTCCAAGGAATACTGTAAACGCTGCCAGCAGGTGGCAAAAGTAAACGCGCAGGGACAACGCGGTTTTGCGGCCGGTGCGATTCAGGTGACGTAGACAGCTCTGCGCGATTTGCCGCAGAACACGCAGCAATGTTATTTTGCAATATGTTAGGTCAAAGTGGCGTTTGCTGTGCCTCAGCGACTAATACTTCGAGTTTTGCGTATCAGGCTGTGTAACTGCGGCGTCGTAACCTTCATCCAGAATCTTAG